TAAAAAAATTTTTATTTTTTATTTTTATTGTTGGGCAGTAAATACTTTGACTGAAAGTAGATGATGCTGAGAAAGAGCCATTACATGAAAAATTAATTAATAGGAATTGACCTACAGTTAATCTTTCCAATCTCTCTCTCATTAAAGTAACATTGTATTTTCAACCAGTGCAAAGATGGCTTTTGCCACCTTTGTTCTGAGTAGTGCATACTGAAGCAAAAACTGGAAAAAGACTTATCAATTCATTGATCTATATTTTAAGAAGGTGAAGTTTGACACCTTGAAATATACCAGATATATTTCCAAATCTTCTCTGGGAAACCACGTGGGCTTGTGAACGTAACCCACAATGGTGAGGCAGAAACTCCAAAATATTAAGTTATGCCGTTCATTGAGTCGCCTCGAGCATGTTACTTAACCAATATACCATTTTCCTTTCTATAAAGATAAAAAAGATATGCCCACCTACCTTGCAGATTTATTGTGGGGATGGAAGTTTAATATTGTATAAGTACTGAGTATTACCAGTAAATAGTATAATCACAAAAATATGTAAAAAACGCTATCATGAGCCCTGTTTACAAAAATGCCAAAGCATGTTCATATTTTTACTCCTACAAAGATCTTTGTCGAGTTTTGGCTTTGTTCAGTTTTATGCCATTAGCTCTGATAAGAATATGGCCAGTCTTTTGGTAGCATGGAATGTGTGAAATATTTTTACGTTTTTTTCCTGAGTAAGCTTTATAAAGATGCATTTTACTGTGAGAGAAGCAGTCCATAGATGGAGGCATAGTGGCCAAATATTAGTTCCGTAGCCAACTAATTTCTTTAATCAATGAAGTCTCATGAAGTTTCTCTTCATCTATGTGTACTGAATGAGAAAGGAACAGTTTGGCCCATAGAGAATAATAGAGCAGGAGGAGATAGGATTTCTTCTCTACGAAGATTTTAATGTGCAAGGATGTGATAGGCCAAGAAAAAGGAAGAGGTGACTTAAAAGATAGTTCTCTGTTGTTAATCGTCTGTTAATTTGCACATGGTAATAAAATCTCAGATGTGAGCCTCAATCTTAACCTCGATGATTAGAGTCAACCATCTCAATTTCCACGTGGTTGAAGCAGGAGCACAACGTGCAACATCTGTCCCAGCTCTACCTTGTGTAGAGGCCTAGAGATACATTTTCCAAGAGTCTTCACAGTTGACCTTGACTAAGAAGTCAACGCTCACGGGTATATATGTGTGGGAGCTCATGTTGCATATGCAGAAGTCCCCTTTCTGTTATTTCTACTCTGCAAGATAACTGGTCATGTGTATGAGAAGGGGATTTTTTTGTGGGTATTCATAAATTAAGTAGAAGCAGATATTTTCACAGGTTTTTTTGCCTTGTACCCGGCCTCTTTGTGTTCAGTTTAAGTTATAAATGAGCAATACCCATATAAGTAGATAATGAAGCATTATATTTGCATACATATTAAAGTAAATAAGTAAACACATAGCACATTTAACATAGCTTCCATGAAGCCAATTATTTTTTTTTCCACAGTTGCAGTTTAAAGGCATTAAATGTTGATAGAAATTAAGCTTTAAGGGGAGGGAAGAGAACTCTTATTTACATTATAAAGACCTGTGACTTTTTTTTTAATTTTACATTTTGATCATCTTTACTTTTCATTTCTATAGAATGCTTTGTCACTTCATGAAGCTGTAATCCATGTGACTCCTGACCTTTATTATATAGGAAGGCTCCTGGCTATTAACTATTATATAAACATTAAGTACCCTGAGGCTCCCTTGCTGTTAATTATATTTCTTTATTTTTAAGCAACGAACGTTGTCAAGACAGGAAGAACTTAAAGAACGAGCAAGAGTTCTGCTTGAGCAAGCAAGAAGAGATGCAGCTTTAAAGGCAGGGAGCAAGCAACTAACCAATACGATCATGCCAGCCCGCAATAAGCAGCTGAATGATGTAAGAAATACTGGCCAGAATGGCAGTTTACATAGTTAAAATTTATTGTATGTGCATATGAATTTGTGGGGGGGCGTGTCCTTGCAGAATATTTATTATTCATGCTGAATTGCTCTGATGCACCACGTACCCTTGGTTCACTTTAAAGCCTGTTTCTCCTGCTGTTATGGCCAACAGAAAGATGCCTTAGACTTCACTAGAAGCAGAGGTCTGGGGGCACCTTCTTTGATTGGCACTGCAGTTTCTAATGGGATGAAAAACTAAAGTTACTTGTTAAATGATAGTGAAGTAATTTATGCTATTTTTGATTACTTCTCTTTTTCCAGTGAATGTAAATGCATTCTCTGAGCCTGTGATGTCAGCTACTTGCTGCTTCATAAGTGTTATTGCAGTGAATGAAGCTGTAAAGGAGTTTGATAGAACAATTCCTTTTTATCACCAAAGTTGATTATGCTGGTAAGATGGGAAAGTGGAGCTGGGGAATGAGCTCCAGTGTTGAAGAAGCTATGGTTGCACCTCCAGTGGCCTCCATGGTGACCTGGAAGGATGCATACTCTCTGGAGATGAAAGCTAATTAATTTTTATGCAAACCTTCGCAATGCAATGATTCTAACTATTGCACATTAGCAACTATACTGGCAACTGAGGATGTAAATGTAACTGAAAAGTAATGATAAAGCGAAAAGCTTGAATTTTTACTGATTCATATCTTTGACAGTGTAGTCCTGAAGGGCAGATTCTGCTTTTTACATAAATGGGATCATACAATCAAAAAATGAAGACAGTGATTTATATGTCTCATTTCCTTCTCTTAACTGTCTTGGATTCATGCTGCACTTTTTTTTCTTAACAATTCCTCTCCCCAGACTGAGATTTCTTTTTTCCTCAAAATAGAATCATATACGCAGACAAAAATTATTTGTATAATGATATCATAATGATATATAAGCATTTTTTTATTACTTTGTATTTAAGTTTTTTCCTAGATAAGTATATTTTAGTATTTTTTACCTAGTTTTTCATAAAGCAAACAGCATAAGAAGAGGGATACTATAGGCAACTACTCAGGCAGGAACAACTGTAATTAAAGTTGCCTAACATTTTTTATTACAAGCCCCTATTTTCTAAGGTTTTACAACTTTGCTGTTATTTAATTGTTTGAGCTGAAATTTTCACCATCAGCTCTCTACCTCAGGGTAATATTTTTTTTAAACTTAAAAAAAGCCCTGTTCAACTATTTCTTTGTGTTAGGGTGTATAAAACATTGTTTTATCCATGTTAAAAATGTCTTATGGGAAGAAGGTTACATCCCCTTGAAAAATATTTTCAAAACCATCAAAGTTGTGTTAATAGCACAGTCTTGTCAGAGAGGCTTGAAGTTCAAAAAATTTGGTAAGTGGGAGTAAAAATTGTCTGTATTGACACAGCACAGCAAGAGCATCTTTTACCATTGCTCCCCTAAGGATCAGGGCCCATTCTGATGCAGATCGTAGTATTGGAAAGCAAAACTTTCTCTTGTAGACTCAAACTCCTGCTAATGACATCCAAACACGAGGAAAAGGAGCTACCCCACTGGCATGCAGAGGAGAGATGCCCTGGGTAAATGGCGAGGAGGTGGACAGTAATGTGAAGTTAGACAAAAGGAAAATGGTTTCTAGGCCATGAAAACCAGCTGAAGGACAGGAGATAGCGACAAAGATTCCAGAGTGAGCATTGGGATTGCATAGTTCAGCAAGCCAGATTACACATGGGACATTATTTCATTTATTACAAAAGCTGTAAAAATGAATTAGAAGCCTCCAGGAAAGGGAAGGGCAGTCTTTCAGGGCTGCTCGGCAGAGCCAAAGTTTCTTGCTACCTTCATCAGAAGCTCTTTACAATGTTGGGGGGGTACCTTCAGCCCAACATATTCAAGGTGGCAGATTCTTTGATTTCTGATTTCCAACCCAAGATTTTTGGAGACTGATTTCTGAAAGTTTGAATGCACCCAGGTGTAGCCAAGTCAAGGAGAACCATCCTGTGAACAAATGGTCCTGGCCCCTCTGAAATCCTGGGTGCTCTGAGCAAACAGGTCATGGTCATTCTTGACTTGAGTTGACTGTAACATGAGATTAACAAAAGCTCCTCAGCTCATAAGGGTGTTGTGGAGTTGAAATTTGGAAACTCTTTGATACAATAGTGAAGAGTACCACAGAAATGCTCTGGAAGAAATTAATAATTCTGTGTTCGGAGAAAAGTTTAAATAGCATATTTTAAACAAGGTGTAGGGCAGAGAGTGAATGATCAGAGTGAAGTGAGATATTGAACAGTTCATTCACTGAACATTGTCAGTCATGGCTACTGAAAAAGACAACTATCCTGTAGGGA